TAATTCACAAAACAGCGGAGAAAGTTTGATATTGTATACATTAATTGCCTCCACCTGTATTTTAATGATATATATATATATATATATATATATATATATATATATATATATATATATATATATATATATATATATATATATATATATATATATAAAGCACTAAAAATGACCAACGACACGAACAATAATAATTGTCAAATTTTCGGGGCAAACTTTCCCTTCCTCAGGACAAAGAAAAAAGTCATAAAAACAAAGGAAATAGAGAAGCAAAAACAACTAGCACTACTACTAAACTACCAAACACTAAATATTTACAATGTTACATGTTTAATTTGGAGTTTATAAACAGTTGTGAACAAAGAAATCCGGAGCGCTATGAATTGTGTCCGGTCTATCGGGTGTAGTCTGGTGAAGTGTGATTTACATAATTGAACGAATTCATTATCGCTTATTAATTACGGCCAACAGTAAATCGTACATTGTCTTATTCTCTCAAAATAGCCTAACTCTACATGATAAAAAGAAATTAAAGAAAGATAATATGGAAGGACAATTTTGAAATATGAATTTGGATATATTATAAATTTGGAAATCGGAAAAAAGAAATAAACAAAAATGTGAGCTGTAAATATTTGGGTAGGTTGTTCCAGGATTACTAATACGAATTAACGGTAAAGTTTACACTATATAGAGAGAATGAACTTGTTTGTTACAATCCGGGATTGGGTCTAGTTCACGTTCATCCTGGTGAAGTCATTAAGTTTGTTAATACCATTAGGGCGGAATGACTTCAGCCTGTGCATCCAGAACTTTTCCTTGCCTTTTCTCTGCGCGTCTGTCCATCTTGGATTATGGTCAATAACCACTACTGTCATGTCCTCCCATTTGTGTCCTTCAAGGTTGAAATGTTCCCCAACGGGTTCATTGAGTTTTTTGGTCCTAATGATAGAACGGTGATTATTGACCCTCCTGCGAAGATCTCCTGTTTCACCAACATACTGTCTGGAGCAAACTTTGCAACTGATGAGATAAATGCAGTTGTCTGTTTGACAGGACAAATTCCCTAGTATTTTGTAGCTGCGGCCTGTAACGGGGCTGTTAAAACTGTCTGTGTCAGAGCTGTACTTACAGAGAAGACATCTTCTGTCAGAGCAAGTTTTAAAGCCCCCGTTAGGTAATGGATTGTCCAATCTGGTTCTTACTACCATGTCCTTCAGGTTCCTCGGGCGTCTGTATGCAGCCAATGGGGGCTCCTTAAAGACCTCTGCCATTCGTTTATTTGAGTGGAGAATTGGCAGATTCTTTTGAAGGATACCGCTGAGGTTCTTAAGGACGGGATGGTATGTGGTTACCAGAGGGACCCTGCCGCTATTGTCTTTTTCCTTGTAGCGTAATAGGTTTTGCCTGTCATGTCCCGCCATCTCATCAATAGCAGTTTGTACGGTGCGGGCATTGTAGCCTCTCTTGCATAAGTGGGACTTAAGGAGACCGCTTTGTTCTTGATATAAGGCAGGGGATGAACAGATGCGCCGAATTCTGGTGGCTAGACCCTTAGGCACACCCTTAAAATTGTGTGGGGGGTGACAGCTAGTTGGCATAAGATACAGATGGGAATCTGTTGGTTTCGTGTGGAGACTGAATTCGATTTCACCGTCAGTCAGGGTAGATGTAGTATCTAGGAATATGTTTTTCGAATTGTAAATATTTAGTGTTTGGTAGTTTAGTAGTAGTGCTAGTTGTATATGTATATATATATATATATTGTATATGTATGTTTTCTTCATAAGTATCAAGGGGAAACATCTTTAAAAATAATCACTGTTAGAATTATTAGTAGTTCTTTCGTTTTATTATTATTTTATCATTAATCTGATCGTTTGTAATCCATGTGCTGGGTATGACTAGTATGAAAAGTTATTTTTTGTGCAATATTGCTCAAATTCAAAGTATTGTCTTTAAGAATTTTTCCTAGACCATCAGGATTTAACAATCCTGAAATTGGCATTGTCCTAATGATCTTTATTCAGAGTCATGACAGATTTATTTTAACATATATTACTCTATAAACAAGTGTGATAAATCAAAAAAACTAATCCATGAACAATACAACTCACGTCCAGTGACCTTGACCTTTTCAAAATGAACAAGTTGCAACAGCAACAAAAAATACTATAGTAAATTATAGTTAACTATAGTTTACTATAGTTAACAATAGTAAATCAAAGTTTCGAAGTTATCACTAAAGTGTCACAGTGGTCATTATTATACTTCTGTTAAAATGTTTCCTATATAAAGTTAAGAAGGTAAACTAACTATCTTTATAGTCTCAAAATTTCCACACATAGCAAACTATACCCCGGGGTATAGTTTTTGCTATCCACCCCTCGGAAAATTTTCATGCAAGTTTTGCCGCCAAGTTTGATTTCCTGTAATCAATCTATAGACTTATGATGTCATCCTGATTTCAGTAGCATTGTGACGTCATCAGGATTTCAGCTCATTCTAACAGTGTTATCTTATTCCAAATACTTGTTCAAAACTTTTTTAATTTTTTTTATTTCTTCATGTTTTTACTATCGAACTGTAGTATCAGGTAAATCCAACCCTTAGAAATTATGATGTACATCAGTATAATAAAACGCTTATCCACTGGCTGTGAGTGGGATAGCTCTTTCATCAAACCCTTGACAGGAACTATTTCCCTCGAACAAGCCCTCGGGGAATTGTTCCTGTCGCGGGATTGATAAAAGAGCTATCCCACTCACAGCCAGTGGATAAGTGTATACTATAATGTCACTAGTTATTACAATAGTAAATCAAAGTTTTCAAAGTTATCACTATAGTGAATCAAAGTCTTCAAAGCTATCTCTATAGTAAATCAAAGTGTTAAAGCTATCACTATAATAAATCAAAGTGACAAAGTTATCACTATAGTAAATCAAAGTTTTCAAAGTTATCACTATAGTGAATCAAAGTCTTCAAAGCTATCACTATAGTAAATCAAAGTGTCAAAGCTATCACTATAGTAAATCAAAGTGACAAAGCTATCACTGTGGTAAATCAAAGTGATAAAGTTATCACTAGGGTAAATCAAAATTAAAGATTATTCACAACTGTAAAAAATGTTATGTGATATATGTCTTAATTAGTTTCTCAACATATGTATTATCAAGTTTTACAGATTTTCTTACTTTCACAAAGTTTTCTGTTGATGTCTTGTATTTCAAATCATTCCATGCAAGTTGCGTGCAGTACACTTTATTCTAAATTTTATTTTTAGTGATATTTTTTGAAACCTTTGATTTTCAATGACTGTTACTAAATAAACATCTCTCTTTTTTCCAATGTATGTTTCGTGGTTTACAAGACATTTTTATAGGTGAGTTGAAATTTTATTACTGAAATGAAATGTGAAGATAACGAACAGTTTGATGTGGAATCACGTGCCAAGAAGTAGTAAGCATTCCCTTTCGACTAGTCACTTGCGCAGTGAGCCCTTTGTCATGATGGGCTAAACGCACACAGACAATTTAGTAAGAAAATAATGACCTAGCAATTTGAAAAACAGCAGTCAAAATTCGACCTAACGACAGATTGTATTTGCAAATAAGTCATTGAATCGACCATTGACTTTGCAAAATGCAAAATATTGAATGTAAACGAGAATATTGATACCCACGGATCAACTTATTTGTCAACAGCCTGTCTCGCTTAAGAAATTCATCAAATTTGAACGTTTTTTGCAGAAACATAACTCGTTTATTAGTGTTTCGGGAAAAGATTATTTGTACATGAATGCGAGCGGGAAGGTTAGTTAGTTCTCAAGGCTTATTTCTATGCTTATTTTTCTTTGAGTAAATATATATCTGATTATTAGACTTCGCGATCATTTCCTCTAAAAAGAAAAGGGTAAAGGTAGCGGAAAGTGATCTACAAAACCAACAAGCAATACAAATCTGTGTACAGGGCATAAAACAGGAATACCTGAAACTTCCAGAGGTGGGATCAGGTGTCTCGGAAGAGTAAGCATCCCCTGTCGACTGGTCAAACCCGCCGTGAGCCCCTAAGTATTGATCAGGTAGACTGAATATTCCGCAGTCAAATTTGGTATAAAAACAAAGGCCTAACAATTGGTATGAAAAAAAAAAACTTCAGCCAAAGTACAACCCCATGAAAGGTTATACTTACTAACATGGTGATTATTATGACCGTAAAATTAACGAAACGCTGACTTTAAACGAGGTTAATTCCTGTAACATCAACTAATCTGCGAGTAGCCTGCCTTGGTTTAAAAATTGATAGTACTCAGAACATACTCTTGGGTATCGAATAAGTTGGGAGACATAAAGACATAAACCCCATCATCTGATTTTTCCACATAGCACCAGTTGAACTGATTAATTTAAAGTCTTTTCAAAAACAATTATCCAACATATTGTGACTACATTATCTTCAGCCCCAATTTTACCTCAGAATATTTTAAATTATGTGTTTAACTCAAATGGTTAAAAATGTCTGAGAAATTGGGATAGCAGAACGTCACTGCCATTTAATAAAAGCATGGAAGCAATTTCATCATTCATTAATAATTTCATTTTGTACAATTAAATAGACAGCAATATATATTTAATATATGGAGGACTGGCGTCCTTACGAAAAGTTTTGTAGTTATACACATTCCTAGCTGTATTATATTAGATGCCCCGAGGTTTAATCCTATTCTTATTTTTCAAATTATCCCCCACAATAAACCTAGCAGCTATTCAATCCGGCTTACATATTCAACAGAATCTTTACAAATTCAATTGATCTCGGCATAAATCGAATTCATTGGCCACTAACCACCCCGCTAACACATTTATTGCCTTTAATTGTTCCTTATTTATTCGCACTAGCCTGAAGACGCCTAATTCTTGATCGTTTGTCCAAGAAACGTGGGAGTCCACTTGGGTTTAGTATCTCGTTAGACCTTCAATTTCCGATCCGAGCATTTCTTATATTCCTCTCTCAGGAAGGGTGCCCATAATGCGGAAATCCCAGAAACAATCGACCCATGTGTGTTAATTAGTAAATGCTTTCTCTGATCCGAGTCCATAGCGGATATATTGTTACACGCAGCTTTAACGGGAAGAAATTTGATGAAGTTGAGAGTTGATTGAGGAACTCTATTGATCTGACCCGCCACTTGGAGCTGCGTCTTCGTTAGACACGGTTGTGAGGATGCTCTGGTGGTGTCTAGTCCTCATTTTGCTGGTGCCCCCCGGGGATACTTCCGGGTTCCCTTGTTATGGTTGTTCTAGAGACTTGCGAAGAAGAAACCAACAGAAGCGACAATCGGTCAGTATAACTGTTTCATACAGAATTTAGATTTTAAAAAAAATGTAAAACAGTATATTTAGTGCTGTAATGATATTGCATGTTGAAAATTAAACTGTGTGTTTTTCATCGTATACACAAATCTTAAAAAATTGGGGGGGGGGGGGTGGTTCCTTCCAAGATTCAAGCAGGTTTTCTTATTTATTTGTTATAAATTTAATTGATGATTAAATAAAAAGCTGCTTAACAATTGAATTTTATAACGGATATCAATAGAAAAGCGATTGATAAATGTTCAGATTTAATTTCCAAATTAAGATACTTTTCAGAAATGACTAAAATAAAAAAAAAATAGAAATCAGATTAGATATTTTGTTAACAGATTTTAAACCATCCCCCGTTATCAATAAATGCCGTAAATATTCGTTACATTATATATCTTAATAAAATAATTTCGCTGATTAAAAATTGCAATATTTCTATTGTTATTGATGTCCTTTGATAATCTCGTGCTTAATTATTTTTCTTCTTTGATCAGTAGATGAAGATGAGGCTAAAACAAAACAGAATTATTTACATACTTTGAAAATCAATAAAGCATCGGCATATTTTTCGTGATATATGATGATATAATGACAGAGCTTTTTATCAGTTTCGAGAAAGATTGATCCACAAATATCAGCACAGTATAACAGGATTAGCATTGATTAAGCCTCGAGTAAGGTCTCTATTCACCAGCGACATCGGAGGTAATCAGATTATCGAATCCTGATCCCCACATCCCCGCCCCCGGGCGACCACTTACCATGAGAGAATAAAAGCACGAAATACCATCATAAATTGATTAACCGGAGATGTGTATATTATACCGAGATTGGTTCCTCTGTAAAATATTTATGTTTATTGCATGTTTGACGTCCATTGTCTCTAGAGTAAACCCTTTGATGACTTGAATTATAAACTATCAGAGAATCTCGGTCTCACACCCAAGTCTGTACCTTAGTGTTACATTACAGAAAGTGTGAAATGTTATATGTCAAATCAGAGAAAGATTTCTTCTGAAAGATAAAAAACGCATCGCAGCTACAACCGTCTTAAACGGTTCATCTACATAGCACGACAATCCAATTCTTTCCTTTCATCAGAGACTTTATTTTTCATTCACAGTTCTGTGGTGTATGTAAATAATCATTGTAAAGACGAAAAGTGTAACGTCACGCTATTAGCTATGTCACACTGGACGATTATAACAGTGTTTGCTGTTTAAGGTTTTACCAAACGTCAACATGCCCAAAAATTTATTTTTACAACAGCTCCAAAACTATGTGAGGTATAAAGTTAAAACTTTTACAGTTTATAAAAATATCATTGATTAACAGATAGAAAGTATCACTTGATAACAAATACTTAAAGAAAGTATTTAACGAGAAAAAAATCTTTTTAAAAAATGCATATATTTTTAAAAAAATACACCTAATTAATTCCGTACTTTTAGTGAAAGTCATCATTGCAGAAACAATATATGTTTATCAATGAAAGGCAAGTTGGACTTCGATAGTCTCTGGAAAGTTGTTTTCCCTGTTTATTTTGTCCAAATATTAAGATTTGAAACCGAAAGTACATTGCAAATGGCGGATTATATAGGGTACTTGTCTTTATACATGTCATGCTTTCAATAATAGCCTTTCAGAGACCATTCACGTCCAACTTGCCCTTCATTGATAAACATATATTATTTCTTCATTGATGGTTTTCACTAAAAGTACAGAATTAAGCAGGTGCATTTTTTAAAAATATGCAAATTTTTTGAAATTGTTTTTTCTCAAAAAATATATTTTTTTAAACATTTGTTTTTAAGTGATACTTTGTATCTGTTAATCAATGATATATTTATAAACTGTAAAAGTTTTAACTTCATACCTCACATAGTTTTGGAGCTGTTGTAAAAATAAATTTTTGGGCATGTTGACCTTTGGTAAAACCTTAAAACTAAAATTCATAATGCCTACATGTACACATATTTAAAGAGACACCGTGACGGAAAAACAGGAAAATTGACAAAAGTGGAATTTTTGCAAGACACATGCAAATTTTATTCAATTCTTGAAAGTATTAAGTTTTAGAAAATTACAGATTTCAGAACCTAAAAAGTCTATGGAGAAAATATGGAGAGAAAGAAAAAATAGGAAAAAGAATTTTCGTTTGTCCCAACACGAAAATATTGCTTCACTTCTTCCTCTTTAAGGTACACATGCGCAGAAAAGTTGAAGAAGTTGCCATGGTGTCTATTCCATAGATATAAATATCGGATGACCGAGGATTTTGAAATAATCTTCAAAAGCAATGATCAGAACGTGTTCCAATTCTGTTTACAAGTGTCACGCTAAAAATAAAAGACACATGACCTTGACATTGTTGACATTGAAGACAACAACCACTTTTCTTTTTCCGGCACTTACATTTTGCAGTCTTTTCTTGCTTTTACCGTGCAGTTGAGATCTCAAAACTTCGTCTTATTCATATTTCTCAGAAATCTTAAGCTTTATGATATAATTATCTTAAAAGAAACACATGATATTTACTCATTTTGTAACTTTAAAATATAACTGCCCAGTGTCCTTCCATTGTAAGGTATGATTTTGAATCAAAATAAGCCACAATTTAAATTCATGGGAAAATAATCTATACTCAAGGGTATGACAAAATGAATTAAACATAGTTTTACCATTGATATACTAGGTTTGTGAAATGTAATCTATAAAGCTTTAGATATAGAAAACGTCGTTAATTTACAGGACATCTCTATAACCATCGGACTACACCATAGTCTATGTTTTGCAAGTGTAAAGACAATTATTTGCAAGTGCAAAACATGTTTTTCTCATACAGTTTCATGAGAAAACTTTGGTAAACAACTTTAAATATTTTCAACGAATGTTGATAAGAATTTACGACTTTAACTGAATTTAATTAACAGCTTTGTGAGATGCTGAATTTTAAAAAAAAAAAATGTGTTATATTGAAAAAATATACTGATGACAGAATCTCTGTCTCGGTCAAAATTGATATTTTTCTGGTGAATATTTTTATCGAAATTCAACATTTTGCTATGAAACAATAAAGAGACTCTTAACATACTTAATTTCGTTTATAAATCATACATACGGCGAACCATGGTTACAGTATAATCAAATTTGACTTGATCTTTGTAAACAAATTTTTAGATATGCATATACGATTTTGAATTTTAATATAGGATGATAAACTATAATTGACATATGATAAGTATAGTTTATCATTGAAAACTACAGTTTACAACCGTAGATAATAGGTTTTGAGTATAAAGCTATTATACTGTTATACATAGTTTATAAGTAAAAATTGTATAGTATAGTTTACTACCAAAGCTATGTTTACAAATGTAAAAGCATAGTTCAAAAGTAAAAATAGATTCACTTGTAAAACTGTGATACAGTGATAATGATCCCTAACTATGGTTAATGATTGTGAATTTTTTTAATAAATGAGAATATATTTATGAACAAAAATTTTCATTAACGTAAATTCACAGGCAGCTTAACTGGGTTTGCATACTTTAGCTATTATTTACAAATTGTAGTTATATATATCGTGTTGTAGAGTAGGATTTCCCCCATAGCCAGTTTCCCCCCTGAATCTGTATTTTCTCAGAGTAGGATTTCCTCCCTTATATCAATATTTAAATCATATCCACAACATTTTGGCTAAAAGTTTATATGAAATTTAAGTCAACTGATTTTTTTAATGGGAATATGAGTGCTTTCAATTCAAGAATTGTCAATTGTACATGGAGTATTAAATCTTAAAATATTTAGTATAAATTATTAAGTCCAAGCCCAAAATTTTAAAGCATAGAAAATTGTAAATTTAGTCACTTAAAAAATCCTAAGACTCAATGTCTCAGCACCTCTCTCGACGCGTAGATACCTGTTTGTTCAGGAATCAGGCCACCTTTAGTGATTTGATGATAGGCCCTCTGAAGGCCTAGTATCTTATTTATGGATCGATCCTTTTTATAAAGAGTGTGTGAGAAAATTCTAAAATTTATGTTATTGATAGGTTCCACATACCATTGTGAGTTCTTAAATCGAGTACTTCTTTAAAGGAAAAAAAGCCAAGACCAAAATATTAATCAATACAAGAAATACTGCTTTTGCAAGCCGAAGCATAAGTATGTCCCATTGAACCCTGCGATGTAATATTGAATTTAAAAGTAGAGAGCAAATAATCTGTTAAATTTTGCAAAATTTCATTTTTTAAAGAAATGATCAATTTTTAGTTTCATGGCAATGGCAACTATTTTGAATATATTTAAACCCCAGAAACTTGGAGAGACACTCACACATCAATATTATGTATGTAGTTTGAAATACAATTGGAGAAAAAAAATCCATCTCAAATAAAATCCCATGGATGCAGTTAAAAATCATCAAAAGTACCATTGTACCCTTTTTTAGAAGCTAGTTTAACCAGGTGAAAAGAATAAGATTTTAATGCTTCAAAAAAAAAATGATGATCAATTAGTGAGAAAAAGGGAAATTATTCAAAATTTTCAATTTTCAAAATAATTCATATTTTCAGTGTAACTTGGTGCCTTATTGAAGAAGGGGCACTTGTTACAATGTGTCGCCCCTCCCCCTATGTATACGTATAGCCATGATATTTTATTGGGGGAAATTTGGCTCTGGAGGAAATTGCACTCTATAACTATTACAGTTACACATAGTAGGACCCCCCCCCCCCCGGCAAAATTGAGTCTAATAATGGATTTCATTGTGGAAATCCTACTCTACAGCCATTTTTCCGTGGGGGAAATCCTGCTTAGAGTCAATTTTCCGAGGAGAAATCCTACTCTAGAGGCATTTTTTTTTTGGGGGGGGGGGGGGGGGGGAGAAAACCAACTATACCTGACCGGTTGAAGAAAATTTGTAACTAAAAACACCGTTTTGTAAACTATATTTAACAATTGAAAAGCGTAATTTATCAGCTGTCAAACTATTTTCAGTTCATTTTTATGAATTCGACATAATGGTTCTACATTTATGGACCAGTAATGGTTCTACAGTTAAGGACCAGTTACTTTACAGTCGAATTATGAAAAAAAAAAAAAAGAAAATTATAAATTTCAAAGCCACATGCACATTAGTAAACGTCTAAAATAGATAGATAACCCGAAGACTAACTTTATTACTATTAGAGATCTATGACTATTTATCGCGATTAAATTTTTTTTAAGGTTTTTTGACAATTCTGAAAGTTCGTGTTTTGTTTGTTGTTTGTTTGTTTGTTTGGTTTTCTTTTTGTTTTTTGTTTTGTTTCTTGGTCCAGTACCGTTAACTGGTTCCCTGACACCAATACTGCATTAGCAGACTAGCATATATATTGTTTATAGCACGTACAGACAGGCTGTTTCAAAATGGTATAGTCAATAAATTTAATTCATTTAATGTATGTGTCAAAGTAACATTTGGTAAATTTAAACGTGATTTAATAATTTGTTGTGATGCAAATATCATTAAGTTGTAATTAGGGAAGACACCTAGTCTAAATTGTTCAGTAAGGACAGTGTAGAAACAAGATGTAGTCCGGCTATTTGGAAAATAAAAACTGTGGATAAAATAAAATAAAAGAAATGAATATTTACATGTATTCAGTAGAAATAAACAAGAGTACAACTTATTACCAACCCAATTAAAAAGTTTGAAATAAATCCAAACTTTAAGAGCAGTGGCTGTTAGATTGTCTGTAATAAATGGGAATGTATTTTAAAGTTCCTTCAAACATAATATAGTGCAAATTAATGGCCTAGATCAATGTATGTAAAAAAAAAAAAAAAAAAAAAAAAAAAAAAAAAAAAAAAGATAATAAAAAAAATATGCGAGATGAATATGAAATGTTCCCCCTGATAGAAAAGTCATTTTATCGACCATAACGTAGAGTTAATACTGTGAAAGTGGATGGAGGAACGTTTTCAATCACAAAGTAAATTTAGGTTATGATGAACTAGTCTCCAGTGGCGCTATGATGCATTAACTGTCTCCGATTAGAGCACTTTCCTTGGGGTGTAACCTCACACATTTATTTTCCTGTCAGTCAGACCAGTTATATCGTCCCCAATGTTCCGAACTAATCTTCAGTGTTCACACTGGGGTGAGAAGACAAATACCCACAATGGACAGATCCTATATGTTTTCTCTTTCGTTCGCTTCGGCTCAATCAGACATTTTTTGTGTGGATTTCGTAGTCACAAATATTATATTGACGGCATATGTAGGTTCTCGCTGTCTTTGCAATTAATCTTATATAATTTAAAATTGTTCATTCAACTCTCTGCTTTTGACATTCTGGTTCAAATTCAAACGACGAATTATTGCATACCGATTCATTATAAATCATATTTATAAAAGAGTTTGGTTTTTTTTCTTCTCTTTTAAACATCTAACATTTTAACCTTTCAACATCTAACTTAATGTAGTTTTACTGACGTGTTCCTGAAACGTAAAATGAAAAAAACAAATCTTGTACATGATCACACGCAAAACAATTAATCCCTAATCTCAAGATGGAAAAATCTATAACTGACAAAAACCGGCTATAAATGAAGCGCCTAAATTCCAGTAACGTGTAATAGATTTCAAGGATCTGACAAAGGCGCTATTTATCTTGATGTTTTCTTACGACGGGAATCAATGACGTTCGTAAAATGGATGACTCTTAACAAGTGCTCAGAGACACTCAGCCATCAGTCTTCCGTGATCCCTGATTGTCCTCCTCCAACGAGATTGCAATCCACATGATAATAACATATTGAAAACAGAATCGTTATATGTTACACGCCAAGCTGAAATTGGAATTTATTTTCTGGCCAGAGATCAAACCATTTTTGGTCCCTAATTCTTATTTATCCTTTGATATGCTCTGCAAAGAATCAAAGAAAAAAATAGAACTAAAATTTTCTAATTTTAAAATTTACAATTGGAGACCAATGTCATTTTGTTTACTATTTAGCTTACACGAGAGTGCACGAGTCCATGTGAATGTCCTTTCCGGAAACTGACCTGTAACTATGGCGTCAGTCGCCTTAGAGACGGATGTGGCTGCTGTATGATGTGCGCGCGCCAGTTAGGAGACATCTGTAGTAAGCAGAATCTGTGTGAGCCTACTCGGAGTCTGTACTGTGACATTCCGCGATACTCCAGCATCGGCATCTGTAGGGGTATGATTATCATCGTACTTGTAGCATGTAACAGTGTACATAATATGTAAATAAAGTAACAGGACTGTTTATCATTACATATTATACATGTATTTGATTATAAAAAAAAAACTGGTCTAAAATATGATATCAGTTCATTAAAGGAGTCTTGCGAAACCTAGAAGGAAGTAAGTAACCTCCATGGAGCATCCCTTTTGAAACTGGCATTTTTTTTTGTACGACACGCCAGGGAGAAGCCTGGGTAGTGGTTCAAAGAGAGAAATTGCTTCTCACGCCCTCCGTCAAAATTCGACAATGCAAATTTGGTATAGGTGAATGTACACTTACATGTACGTTGTATCTTAGACAGTGAATTAGTTTTGATTTTTTTTAGCCTTGCACCCAAAGTCCTGTAATGTAAATGGCGTAAAATACAAAGATGGCGCCCAGTTCCAGTTGGGTTGCAGTAGGATGTGTACTTGTCAGAACGGTAATTATGGGTGTGCCGACTTATGTCCCCAAGAACATATCCCACCCTCCGACAAATTCTGTAAAAACGCCAGACTGGTCAGTGTTAGTGGCACATGCTGCAAAGAATGGTCATGTGACCTGGCAAACGTCACGAATAAATCGCCAAGGCATGCCATGTTAAAAGGCGCCAACCTGCTGGTTATGTCAGAAGGTTTGTTTTAAATTAACAATTTTCGATAGAACGAGTAAATTATTTATATTGTAGATATAATTTTTATTTCAAAAAATATGAACGACAGAATCAAAACCTGCAAACATTAAAAAATTAATTGCTGTTATTTACAAGTATTAGCATAAGAGATGCCTTGATATGAAAACTATTCATTCTGATTGTATTCATTTAAAACGTCTGTTAAATGCAATTTTAACGCTATGTCAACTTAATTTTCGTTTATCATAAATCTTACAGAAGCCATGAAAACAATAAATATAACTGAAAAAGAGCCCAAATGTTCCAAAGAGTGGTCTCCTTGCTCTGTTTCGTGTGGCTATGGTCTGTCGCATAGATATGGATCAGAAACGTGTGACGTCATCAAAGATACCCGGATTTGTTATCCTAGACCCTGCGACACATCAAATATTAAACCGGTCAGTATAGTTAAATTCAACAAATTGATGCCTGGTTCTTCCAGTATTTTTCAAAAATTGTCATACTATTAATTACACTTATTTATCAATGCCTTTATTTACAGCACATACATGTTACAGGTTGGATTCTCTCCTTTATACTTTTAATTTTTGACATTATTAAAAAAAAATCCAAATAAAAAGATATTGCTGTAATGAAAACACAGGGTCTACATTTTATCTAGGATAATATTTTTCATATCCTGCTGATAAAAATATAGTATTTACCGGTCTTGTAGAGTAGGCTTTCCTCTCTAAAATCTTTCCCCCGGAAAACTGGCTCTAGACTAGGATTTCCCCCCGGAAAATAGGCTCTAGAGTCTTGAGTTTCCCCACGGAAAAATGAACCTAGAGTAGGATTTCCCCTACGGAAATCCCACATCAGATTAAATTTATGGAGGAAAATCCTAATCTGTGTAATGCTTATAGAGAACGATTTCACCCAGAGCCAATTCCCCTCCCATAAAATATCATGGCGTACCCGTGTATGAGGGGGGAAAGGGGCGACATATTGGTACAAGTGTCCCTTTTTCAAAATGGTGACCAGTTTCATTGAAACATACGAAGCATGAAAAATGAAAAATTAAATGTAATTTTTCTCAGTAACCTTCTAACCATTTAAAAAAATTGAGCATTAAAATCTTATTCTTTTCATCTGTTCAAATCTTGTTTCTAAAAAAAAAAAAGTACAATGTAATCGGTTGGACAAATTTTAAGTGTATTCATAGAAACAAAAAAGGAATTTTGTATTAAATTAATTTTTTCTCCAATTGTATTTCAAACAACATGTACATAATATTCATATGGAAGTGTCTCCTCTATATTCTGAAGTTCAATTAATGCCATGGATCTAAAAGGGGGTAATTTATTTCTAAAATTTTGAAATTTTGCGAAACTTAGAGTATTTCCTCTCTGCTTTTAAATCCAACATTACATCGCTGGGATGTAGGGGACATACTTATATGCTTCGGCTTCATTGCATAAGCAGTTTTTGTTGTATGGTGTTTATGGTTTTGGCTTGTTTTCCCTTTGAAGAACTACTCACTCGATTTGAAAAATCACAAAATGGTATGTGAAACTTATCAATAACACAAATTCTAGAGTTTTCTCACCACTCTTTGCAAAAAGGATGGGTCCATAGATGAAATACTGTGTCTTTAGAGGATAAGCAAAGTATAAAATAATTAAAAGTAACCTGATATAATTTAAAATTTGAAAAATGAGTTGAAACATCGTGTCTTACGATTTTTTTGAGTGACATAACAATTTCCAAAGAGTTAAAATTTTGGGCTAAGACTCAACAATTTGAGCTGTATACTTTAAGATTTCATACGTAATTCAACAATTTTTGAGTCGAAAACACTCATATTTCCATAAAAGAATCGGTTGACTTTCATATAAAATTTTAGCCAAATATTGTCGACATGATTTGAGCATTGATAAAAGAGGGGAAATTTTACTCTGAGAAAGAAAGAGGGGGGAAATTGGCTTATGTGTGAGATTTCCCCTCGGAGAGTACAGATTCGGGGGGGGGGGGGGGGCTGACTATGGCGGAATCCTACTCTACAACACCGGTATCTGTTTGAAGTACGGAATTTTATGGTTAAAAAAACCTTTTTTTTTCACGAACTGGCGCCAGCTGAAAGTGATTTTTACGAAGTAATCAACCTTCCTGAAATCCTCTTTTATAAAAGAAGAGTGTTTTCCATAAAATGTTCTCTCGATTTCTCAAATCGCAATTTTTATTTATATTTGACACAAGTAAAGTGGTGGGTTGGGCTGCACGTAACATTTCCATCAATAATGGGTGATGGATGCCTCGGTCAATATTGATATTTTTCTGGTATATCAAACTATATTCACCACCAAAAGAGTCCATAATTATATGGTGTCTTATTAAGTGCTTCGTATACGGAGAAGGATTGCAACAGTTCGAATTACTCTGATGATGCTTTTTCAAGGGTGTAATTATCCAAAGAATATACATGTTTATTATATAGTCTATTTATAGTCCCTATATAATCTATACAAACGCAAACAGTTCATAACACTACATATTCACCGGATTTTAAGCCGTATTCACCGGAGGTCGGTGCGCTTGCAGCGGCATTGTGACGTCACAATCAACACCTCAAACAACGTTGTAAACAACGGTTGCAACGGTCGGAGCCAGCTGTGTATCTGAGCAGGAAAAACATTAACCAAGCCTATCGCAGGATTATTTTCTAAACATTTCGATTTCTTACAAACAGCAAAAGGAAAACACGGAAACACATGTAATCTGGACATTTTTTTTAGTTTTCCACGACAGAAGTTTGTAAATAAAAGTGGTATCATCATGCAGCCTTCAAAGTCTTATTCATTCAAATCCGGACTATATAATAAAACGATTATGGACTCTTTCGGTGGTGAATATGGTTTGTTATTCACCAGAAAATATCAATATTGACCTCGGTTTCGCCTCGGTCAATATTGATATTTTTCTGGCTTCGCCTCGGTCAATATTGATATTTTTCTGGTAAATAACAAACCATATTCACCACCGAAAGAGTCCATAATTGTATATTATTTAATATATATCTCGACTAATTATTTCATATATAATATTGTATTTCAGAAAATGTAAGTTTATACTTTGGCGATTCTCTTGATTGTCTTTTTTTTTCAGAAGAAAAAGAGGTGTAAGCCAACATTTCGAATAACTAAGAAAGAACATATTGTTCAAGAAGAGGGCGACAAAATTTGCAAAAGTGTGAGGAAATACAGACTGAAATTTTGTAGTACATGCGCACAAAACCAGTGCTGTTTTCCATGGAAGACTAGCACACGTATGTTGGAATTTAAGTGCAGTGACGACAGTTATAAGTATTTGAAATATTCCTGGACTAAAAGGTGCAAATGTGAAAAAGAGTGTCCAAAACCAACTTTCGTTAAAAAATGAAAGTTGAATTCTTGTGATTATATAGTGTATATATTTGGTTTATGCTGAGAGTAATTTATTTTGCATTCTGACAACGAAATATCTATTTTTGTATTTTTGTATATACATGTATTTATTCTTTCTATCTATTTCCATGCTTTCTCTGTACAATGAAGTATAAAAATGTTCATATTCATTTTTATTTTTTACTTCATATTCAAATAAACTGAAACACTTTTTCATAAAATACTAATTTTGCAATGTTGTTCAGTTCTAAATTTTCTTTATTTTACATCTTTTCAGCAACAATTAATTATAATTCATATAATTGAAGAATTTAAACAGAAGTTCAGAGAAACATCTATAGAGAGAGACATTACAACAAATGGCCACTCAAGGTCATGAAAGTACTGGGTTCTCTGAACTTTTTATACATATGATGTAACAGTACATGACTTTATGAAACTGAAAAGTTTTATCTGTTGTTATTGATTATGTTAAATGATACCCTACGCTGTGTTTTGTATTCATTTTAATACAATTATGATTCATATTCAATGCTTGAGTAGTAAAACTACTGCATTCAGCTCTAACTTCCTGTTGTATCCAATAAACAAATCCCATTTCAAATTTTCACTTGACATTTTTTTTAAATGTTAATGTTTTTTGCTAAAGTATTATTTTCAAGGATTTATTTTGTCATAAAGGAGCGATAAAAAAAAAACTATATCCGTGTTTGGATAGATCAAGGAACGGAGATACTGAATTAATTCGTAAAGTTCGTCAACTTTTAAACTTCATAAAATATAAAGTGACCCGAATGTAGGTTCACATGGTTGAAAGTTCAGTATACACTGTATGCCCCCCCCCCCCCCCCCGAATTTTCAAAACAGAAATATATTGCCTTTAACTTTTAAACTATTCATTTCATTTAAACATGCAAGAATTTACAAAACCAAGAGTTTTATTTCCCATTTTTGGCTTCAATTAGTGCATGTGTATTCTGATTTTAACGACTCCTAGACGGTCATAGTTATTCTTAACTTCTTTATTAAGAATATACTTGTAATAAATTTATAATCAAAAAGAAAAATCACAATTTTTTAAAGATTTTATAAATATAAGCATATTTTATTGCTTTAAATTATCTTTAACCAAGATTATCACAATATATCTAGTCTATGTATTATAACTTGTTCCAATATGATACGTATATGATTACAGGGAAAAATAAACTTAGAAGAATAATCATTAAAGCAGCCTCTCCAAAGAGAACATGAGAAGTTAATGCTTGAATGAGGACCCTTTTGAAAATGAGTTAAGTGTATGGACCAATCTCCATATCATCTACGTACTCTATATAGAACAAGATAACATTGAAAACACAAAGATAACTACATTAATGTTTCTTCCATAGGGAATCCCCTTATGTTCACACATCAATAAATGATAGGCTGAGGTTAAGGTGAATGAACCTTCTTTATTCGTATAGGCATCTATTATATACAAGTAAGACCCGCCTACAGTAAGTGTGATGCCTTGAAACTCCAGAGGTGGGATTAGGTGTCAAGGAGGAGTAAACATCCCCTGTCGACCGATCATACCCCCCGTGAGTCCTATTAATTGATAAGAGTAATCTGTAGTTAAACTAAGTATTATAAAAAGCTTAGAATTGTGTGTAATATATCAGTCGAAAAATAATCTAATATAGATTGTATTTGTAAACCTAAATCTAATATCTATATTTCACAACAATATATATTAAGAATGTGACTACCTCCACCACCATCCCACCCACTCATAAACAAATATAATGATTATAAATAGAAACATCAGTAAAATAAACTCTTCTGATAAATTACAAGTTCTGCTGTATTTCAACGGGGGCGAAACAATATTGCAAAAACAAAATAAATAAATAAATATTTAAAAAAAAATACAAGACTTGCAATATTTTATTGCAAAACTACATAATAACTTTTCTATTAATATCACTCCCCCCCCCCCCCCCCAATTTTATGATATATTGCATATATTTAATTAATTGGTTTAAAAAATCAATTTATCTAACAGCTGATCGTATATTATTTACGTTCAGCAATTTTATTTCTGTTCATGAAATATTTGAATAAGGAAGTGTGTTTGATAATTTTTCCAGTTCTCTGCATTATGTTTCGGACAGCAATATTTTGTTTCCTAGATAAATCATACGTACATGTATATAACCTTATGCTTACAAAAGAAATTGACTAATAGTACTCTTTAGTGAGGAAAAGGCTAATACTACATTTTTATCGTGGAATATTGATTAATACTACATTTTTATCGAGGAATTGACTAATACTACATTCAATCAATTAACGTGCTCCATCTGTTTTGGTTAGTAAGTATACATAGATTTATAACTCAGCTAATCTTCTACGCACCTTCAGTAATCGTATCATATAAAAGCTCACTGAAAAAGAAGTGGTGTCATTGAATTATTAATTGCCAAATGAAAACAGTATTGGAGCAATATCTTTAAGATTGGGATTCTTGCAAAACGGGAAAAAACCACAAAGATTCAATAACACTTTAAATATTACAAAAATAAACAAACAGTGACAGTTTTATTTTTACAATAAAATGTCAGAAGCCTTCATATATATACACATGAATTTCAGTTCAATAATACTGGGAGATTTCAATAATGAACACACCGAAAGAACAATATTAAATAACTGAATAATAATGAATAACAATTAGTGGAGAAAATCAATATATGTAATTAAATATACAAGGCTGACATAAAATAGATTTTTTCTTTCTACTTGTAAATTGAATATCGATTGTGATGAGGCAGATTCGCTTGATACTTTCATCATCATTTACAACAAATCATTGTACATAATAAAACATACAAAACATTGTACTTAACATAATTATTTTACGTGAAATTGCTGAAAAGTTTCAACATTATTAGAAATTTAGACAAAATATGACCATAATACAGTGTCACAATGATATATTATAGGGTTTTGATATGAACACTTGCCAAATTATCGTACCTCAAGGATTAATATTCAGACATTTTTTTGCCGTCCCCATTTTTAGAATTTGTAATTTTCTCACAGGGATAAGACTACAAATACCTAAAATGGATAGAATCTGTTTCGTCTTTCGTTTGACGCAGCTAAACCTTACTCCGAAATCCCAACGCTTAAGTCAAAATCTGTGTGATATGCTGAAATGATGTAAAAGTCACGGTCCAAAATGAAAATATTATTCAATAATGCATCTGAAATTGCTGGGGGGGGGGGGGTGTTCCTCTAAATTTTGAGTTTGACAACTAATAAACATGATAATTCAAAACCTAACCTAAGTCTAAGTTTATATCATGATAGCAGATTGCACTGTGGGTCAAAATTTTGTTAATAAATCTCACAAACCTCCAGATTTTTGTCAAATTTAATAAAGATTATATATTATATTATATTTTGATCTTCGTCTGAAGATTATTCTAAAGCTATTCAAAACACTCTCTTCCAGTTGATTTTTTTATTCAATTTCCTCCGAGAATAATTTAAATTTAGAGAGTTTTTAAAATTATGTTTGAATGGTTTTATACTTAAAGACTTCTATAAAAATTTCACAAGATTGATATAATAACAGTATACGTAAACAAGTACATGTACCACCAGTCACAAGTTATCATTTTGGATATTGAAAGGGTAATGGGGTAGTTTCGTCACGTTTGATTTGAGCCGCAGTCAACAACTGTTTTGATTTCACATAGTTCGTCTTAGTGATATGCAGGAGTGGTTCAAATATATACGAACATAAAGAAACGGTCACAAAAGAAATGGGAAAATAACAAACAGTAATCAAGCTCAAGTGTCCATTGGAACAATACAAATTCGGAGTAGAGCAAACACGGACCTCTTAAAACATCAGAGGTGGGATCAGGTTCCATTGAGGAGTACGCATCCCCTGTTGAATTGTAACACAGTACTAGTGTGCTCGTTGTCGTGATCGTGCAAACGGAAAAATTCGTATACAATTCAGTGTGAAAATATTGGCCTAACACTTTGAATGAAAAAGTCAGTCAACATTTAACGTAAGATTATATTATAAACAAGGTCATTGTATCGACCAAAGAATTTGCGATTTGTTGACTGTTGAAATCCTTGTATCATAAACTTATTTATCGATAGCTTGTCTCGTTTTAGAAATTATTCGTACGTAAATCATGTATTTGCGAATCGAATCAACTGGGAGAAATAAACTCCATATGCAGGTGCAGGGGTCTAGAATTACGCTTTCCCGTTGCCCGGGGCAAGTGAAATTCATCTCGGGAAAGATGGTTTTCATGATAAACTTACCCGAACGGGAAAGTAATAAATTTCAGAATGAGCCAGCAAAACTTTTCGAGTTTATTAAAAGAAATCAATAACAATAAACATCCAATTACATGGTATTAGAATCTGCACAAGTCTGCTACATTTCGTTTATTTAATCTCCAATACTTATCATAGGAAGTCCAATTACTTGTATAATATCGGAACCAATCCGGAAAGATCTCAAAATTACGGAATGGCTTTTAAAACAGAAATGATGTTTTGAAAATAATGTTTTGTCAAAATGTGATTAAATCAATTAGATATTTTAACAAAATAATAAACAAGTACATAATAATTGCTTTTAGATGGTGTATACATTAAAACCACACAATAAAAAAAATAACAAAATAGAGTTGTTTATATTTTTCTAGATTTTTGTTTTTGAGTTCTGTTTTAGGTTAATTAATGATATGTTTTCAAATAAATAAACCAGTAAAATTAAATGATTTTCTGATATGTTTTCAAAAAAAAAAAAAATCAGTAAAACTAGATGATTTTTTCTATCCTTTTGGGGGCAAGTGAATTTTGAATCTGGGCAAGTGGATTCCCAGTCATTACTTCATGTACTTGCCCGTGGGCAAGTGAATTTAAAAAAAAAAATTCTAGACTCCTGAGGTGATAATGCTATATTGCTACATAAGTATGGGAAGTTGATCATAGTCATGTTGAAGTCATCTCGTTTATCAAAAAGCTTTGTTGTTAGTGTGTTTATGTCTTTTGAAAGTAAAACATCCAAATAAGAAACAGGTGTGCCAGATTCTGTTGTCTTTTATTTTAAGTTCAA